ATCTATCTATCTATCTATCTATCTATCTATCTATCTATCTATCTATCTATCTATCTCTGTAGTGCACATGCCACTCAATTCCAAAAAGGCTCTGAGCGGCTTACAATAATACAAGAGTAAAATAGAAAGAATTAAAAGGAAAAGAAAGCTCTGAGCGGCTTACAATAATACAAGAGTAAAATAGAAAGAATTAAAAGGAAAAGAAAGCTCTGAGCGGCTTACAATAATACAAGAGTAAAATAGAAAGAATTAAAAGGAAAAGAAACTAAACACCAAACTCATTGATAATCAGTTTTCTAACTATTGACACACCAAGGAAAACATTACTAACACTAACTGTTGCATACTGCAGTGAGGGAGCTCCCTATACCATCCATCCTCAAAGGATTTCCGGAATAGCCAGGACTTTATGGCTTTCCTGAGTCCCAGTAAGATTAGTGCCGACCTGATCTTGGGTGGAGTACTGTTCCAAAGGAGATAATATGTATAATTATGATGAATGTAAGGGAAATGTAGCACACTTTGTCCTAATGAGAAGAGGGTAACCAATGACCTAGTTCTTTGCTGTCCAGGTGCTATAATTAGACACGTTTAAGCTTTTTTCCTCTTGTTTATTTCTGAACTGGAAAGCCCATTAAAGAATGTATGCTTTCAAATGGAGGACAATCCTTTGTAAAGTTGAACATATTTAGCCTATAAGTATAGTAGTCTATAAAGTAGAGTTTTCCCAATGGGGTACCCTTTAGATATGTGTACTTCAACTTCCAGAATTCTCAGCAATGGCCATGTTGGCTGGGGAATTCTGGGAATTGAAGTCTACAATCTGGAAATGGCCAAGGTTGGGAAATACTGCTTTAAAGTACTGTATTGTGCTTTTCAAACTATGGCCTGCTGATGTTGATGGTATTTGATGCACTTTTGACTCTACAACCACAGTAGTAATTATCCTCTTGTTTTAGAGTAGCAAAATCTAGTCCTCCCCAGCCTACTGTTCTCTGGATCTACTACTGTACAACTTTCAGAATTTCCATTCAATATGGGCAACACATTTGGCAGATATCAGACTGAAAACACTGGATTCAAGTAGTGGGGTTATCTATAATAAACATCTTAGAACAAAAAAGCATTTATTTGCTTATTTTGCAAAATATGGTTTTTTAAAAAAAAAAAAAAGGTAGATGTTCTTCCCAGACATAATTTAGCCAAAATGTAGTTAAGGAAATCTGGATGTGAAGTTTGAATTCAGACACCATGGTTAATGATTATTTTGTTAATCAAAATTGGAAATCCTGAACTGAATTGGGTTTACAAAGCAACTGTGGTCCTAACTATGATTTTATATTATGTCTGAAGGGACAAACATAGCTTGGTTGTAGCTGCTCCACTTTCCCAAGGCTGTTGCACAACAGTGTTGGATTGTGAGTTTATAAAGCTGAATGGTGAGAGGATGGAAAATTACAGCAGACAAATCATTCTAAGCCATGGTTTGGATAGTAAGCTGTAATGAACATAGTCATGGTTAGGTGAGATGTCTGAACTGAGTTGTATTCTTTTGGCTTCTTAAATTTTAATGTCCAAACATTTAAAACTTTTTCTCTATAACATTGGCTGAGTAGAAAGTAACATTTTAAGGAGAGAATTTGGATATTGGATATTCTATTGTTATCAGATGCAACAATCCTGTGAACAGTAATATTCAGACGAAATACTAGGTCATGGTTTAGGATTATAAAAATGAGGTTCAGCACTCTTTCCTCTCCTTGGATTTGGTTGCAAAGAAAAAATCAGGAGTTTCCACTTGCGTTTTGGACTAGTAACACTTTAGCACTTTGTCATTTGAACCTTAAATACTGGTTAATCATTACTATACTTTGTGGAAACAAGCCAGCTTCAGAACTTGTAGTTTTTTAAGTTGGCTATTTCAGATAATTCATAGCTAAGGTTAACTGTGCTCTGTCAGGTTCAGATAACACTGTAAACTTCTGTTCAATTAACAGAGAAGTTTTCAACCCTTCCTTCTGCCTGTATGTTGTTGTTTAGTCGTTAAGTCGTGTCCGACTCTTCGTGTATTCTGCCTGTATAGTAATAGAGAATAAACAAGCAGATGCATAGAGGGGTGCTTAACCACAGCTTATCACTATTCCTGACAGTCCCATTGTCTGGAATCCTGAAGCCAGGATTCAGACCTTTCTGAGAAGGCCATAAAGCTCTGCAGATCCAAAGCTGCAGAGTAAGGAACATGGTTGACTAAGTCAGTTCTCCGTGTCAGCGCTAGTGTGGAGAGTTCAGAAGAGGTACAGTAGATCCTTGCATAATCAGAAGCCACATGGAAGGTCTCAAGCTGGTTGTTACCAAACTGTGTGAGGGAATCTCTGGCTTGGAAAAGGTGGGGAGTGAAACCAGCAACACCTTGAAATGGTTAGCAGAGACACAAATTAGGTTAAGTCCCAAATTGTTTTGCATGAATCAAGTTGTGTGTGATGTCAGTTAGCATACAAGGAGAGCAGTTCACATTGACCTTTTTGAGGTTTCTGGCATGCTGTCTGCAATATTTGGATCTTGCTTTATTTTGACAGGCTGGTAAGCAAACCAGAACAGCTTGGTTCACCTATAACCTGAGGTATAAATAAATAAAGGTTCACAAAACACAGCGGGTGGTTTCACCCATCACAGTAACCCATTACTAAGCATAAACGTAAAGTGTGAACCCAGTCATACAATTATTACTCCTAGTGGAAAATGTCCAACATTAATCCACCAACCTCTTCTCTGATTAAATAAGATGCTATATTTGGGGTTTTTCATTCATGTCTATGTATGTCACACAAGCCTCCTCCTGCCCTTGAAACCTTTCTTTTACAAGCTGGTATTTGTGGACGCACACCATTTCACTAATAAAGGGCATTCTCAGTCAGTCTTCCCCAGCCAGCAGGGTGATTATACCTCTATAATCTGGTGGGAACTAGGTGAAGGAAGATTTTCTAGGGACAGAGATTGTCAGTATATAATTTGGTTCATATTAACTAGCTCTGACTTTTTCAAGGCCAGCTTTCAAGACCATTTTAATCTTTGGGGAACCTCCAGTCCATGCAGACATGGACGTGAATGCACTCTTACTGGCCACTAAAGAGCTAAAGGCATAATGTTCATTATTTGAGGCTAATTTATTTATTTGTTTGTTTTAATTCAATTTTGGCACTAATGTTGCAAGGATATAGATGGATGTGCACAACAGAATTAGCTTTGGGGGAACATTATCTTTGTGACTATAATTAAAACAGTAACAGTTTTCTTGAGGAAATACTGATTTCTTTGTAGTGTTCAGTGTTTATGTTTTTAACGTCTTAAAATCTATTTTCTACCAACATATTCTCAAAGGCAAAGTGCAACTAGTTAGCCACCATATTGCTGGTTAACAGATTAAAAAAACCACATTTAATAATTTAAATTATAGTGGGTAATTGGTTAGCAACATTCTATTTCCCATGATTCTTTGAGAGTGAAGCAGTGGCTTAACTATGGGACTTCTGAACAACACTAGAACAGTAGCCATGTTAGACTTCTGTGGCAATAGAGGTTATGGTTCCTGTCCCGGTATATATGTTAATTAATTTAGGAATGTTAGGATGACCGTGTACTATTATGATTGATAACTGTATTTTTTCATTTAAATTTTAATTGATTTGTCAGAGAGATCTCAACCGAACTGTTATATTATTGCCATTTGATTTAATATATTTTGTGTACTGATGAGCCTGTCAATTGAAGATAACAATTTATGCATCCAAAGAAATGAGCTATAGTCCAAGGAATAATAATTTTAATAGTTTTTAAGGCACAGCTATGTAACCTAAACAGGCCATAGGCAGCATGCCCCCCTGCCCCCATTTTTGACTCTGATCTGCAGCATGGCACAACACGTATGAAAACTAGTATTAGCCATAACACAGGTTGGTTGGTTGGTTGGTTGGTTGGTTGATCAAACTTGTACGCTGCCCATATCACCATACAAGTGACTCTAGGTGGCTTAAATCTATTTTAGAATAGATTTAAAAATGAAAAAGCAAAGAAAGAAACCTGCAACTTCATCCTCTTGAGTGACACCGCCTCAGTCTGTATGATATTGTAGGTGCCTCTAGCCAGCTTGGTGTAGTGGTTAAGGTACTGGGCTAGGAACCAGGAGCCTGTGAGTTCTAATCCTGCCTTAGACATGAAAGCTGGCTGGGTGACTTTGGGCCAGTCCCTCTCTCTCAGTCCAACCCACTTCACAGGGTTGTTGTTGTGGGGAAAATAGGAGGCAGGGGTATTAGGCAAGTTTGCCGCTTTGAGTTGACCAAAATATATATTAAAAAGGTGGGATAAAAATCTAATAATAAAAATAGCTACCAAAATATTCAGGATAGCACAGAACTCTGTTATTTCCAACAATGCTAGGAAACGTGTCAACTATTCCATACTCTGACTATTTATAAAGAGGGTGTCCGAAAATTCTATTGAAAAGGTGTGTTTTTGGAGATACGAGATTTCCTCCTGTAGTGCCTCTTTAATAGGAAAAGTTGTACCTTGATCTTGTCAAGGCAGGGAAGCTAAGAAGGTTTTTGCTTGATTTGTACTTATATATTGAAAACTCATAAAAGACTTTAGTTTTATATACTGTCCACCATTAAAATACAGCAACACAGTATCTTATGCAGCCTTCCATGTGTGTCAGGTAACAGATTTCATAATTCCCAGTATGGATGATGGAAGTTTAACACATTTACAAGGTGTGAGGTTAGATAAGGATGACTTATGAAACAAATCTCCCAGACTGCATAGTTACAGTAATATGTACAGTTTACATATCTATCATATTGCACAGTACAATTTGCTATATATTCTAGATAGTTTTCAGCACCCAGCCGAAGAAAGAATGCCTCTTGTTATATATGTATATTTGTATTTACTTATTGAGCTAGAGAGGGCTGTTTGTTTTTTTAAATTATCAGAGGTTTTTCAACCAAACAGTAAAATATTTGGCTTTTCAAACAACTGTGGGTTTCAGGTTGAGTATTTCTGATAGAGAAAGTTGACTTGATTGACTTGAGTTGTGGGGGGTTTTTTCCTATAGGATATTGCCCTCTAGTGTACTTCTTTTGAATTGCAAGGATTAGATGCAAGTCAAGATTCCTGGGAAATCTAGACCACATCATAGCAACTTACTACAAAGATAGGGATGTGGTTAGCACATAGCCTTCTTGGACAGCTGACCAACCCTCCTGCTGATGCCTTCCCAACACCATTTAAATTTTCTACATATCTCTAACCTATTATCATTCTGGAGCAGTATATGTATAATATGTAAAAGATATATAATATGTAATATGTAATATTATATATATTATATATTATATTATATATAATGTACTAGTATATATAATATGTAAAAGATAGCTAGGTCCAGGTGCCCAGAATAGTGTCACCAAGGGCAGGTAAGCCCCTCAAGGCTTACTTTGTTGTTTTGGAGTTAAATAACTGTGCTTTTCCCCTTTAGCAACCAGGAATCCATGGCAGTTTTGCTATGGGTACAATCGAACATGCTTCATCAACCATTTTATTAATGGTGCTGCCAGGTGACTCTCTAGGTTATGGGATAAGCTCAGTACCTATTGGCTGTCTTAGGCTGCTATGGGCATGTCCCCTCCCTCTGGTCCCTGGCTGTTGTTCTCTAGGACACTTCTGCTTTGGACCATGGGAATCAGGCTTTCCTTCTGTTCCTGGAGGGCCTGGATCAATGCAAACAGCAGTTGACCAGTAGTGGCAGTAGGGAAGCTGTGTGGTGAAGTTGCAGACAGAGAAGGGACTTATGTAACCCCAGTCCTTCAACCTATGAACTGTTGTTTGGACTGTCAAATGTTCTGGTTGATTCAGGTCTCCAACTCAGAGATGTTCTAGATAGTGGTCCTCCTCTCCTGCTTTATGTGCCTCCTCTCACAATCCAGACAACCGTTCCCCAGGCTGGGAGAGGTGGCAAGTGAAGGGGTTGGTTTTGACAGAATGCTAAACTCATGGGTCTAGCCATCTGTCAAAAACAGTCACAAAACACAGCAGTTCCGGCTTCAAGCCAGAACATAGGTAATTGGGATTGGCGGTGGGAACACCAAAATCTAGGCTGGTTTAGTTGTCTGTTGGCTCACATATAGGAGGAGAAAACTTTAAGTAAACCATGTGGAAGAGCTGAAAGACATTTGTGGAAGACACTGATTAGCTTCCACAGGAGAAAGACAGAGGGAAGGTGACTTTTTTTGTTTGCTGGATCTCTCAGAGCAGTGTTTCTCAAGCTTGGCAACTTTAAGATGTGTGGACTTCAACTCCCAGAATTCCCCAGCCAGCATGCTTATTGAGCTAGAGAAGGATACTATCAAGCAAGGTATTCTCTTGGATTGTTTTCATGAGTTGGGAGTTTGAGGCCTTCTGATACAATGATTCTACTCCTGCTTGCAGGGCTAGCAGCAAAGCCTAGCACTGTTTCATGGCATCTGAATCAGGAGAGGCTGTGCATGTTCTGAACCAGTATCTGGATCTAGAGATAGTTTGGATGGGGGCCAATAAACATGTTGTATTCCAACAATACAGAGAGGTGGGATGGGGTGGGGTTGAGTGGGGGTTCCGTGGAATTGGGAAGTTTGTCTGTTCTAAATAAGATAAAACATAGAATTATACAGTTCTACAGTTATCACGGTCATTAGAGGCCCAAGGGACCTTCATAGCCCACTTTGATTGGTACAGCAACAGCCTATTTCCTGGAGAGGAACAGCCTCCATACCTTTCATGCACTGGCAACCTCAACTTTAGATTTCTATAATATGCCCTGCATAAAGCTACCTTTGTGCTTGATTTGGAAGCCGCAGCCATGGCAAAACACGGCAGCCAGGTTGCTGAGTGGGGCTTTTGGCCGTATACATGTTATACCTTTGCTAGTACAACCAATAGGGCTGCCAATTAACTTCCAAGCCAGGATCAAGGTTTTGCTTCTGACAGACAATGTCTTGACTTAAATAGAGGGTCTGACAGACTGCCTTCACCATTATCAATCAAGTCATCACCATTAATAATTAAGATCATCATGGGAGATCCTACTGTATATGCCAAGAATGGTGGTTATTTGCAACTGAGTCTCCCTTGTGGGGGCTCCTGTGCTCTGGAATATTCTCCCCCCTGATGTACACAAGGTGCATAATATTACACCTTCTAGACACCTATTGAAGGTCTCTCACTTTATTGAGGCATTCTCTGCTTGAGTGTTCTACAATGATTTCTGCTTTGTTTCATTTTCCTTCCATCCCCCTTTTCAAAGAAATATACTGTACTTCCACGTGCTTTTTATTATGGTACTGTATTTGAATAATTTTATTGTACATTTCTTTGAGATGTGGTTTTATGGGAAGCAATGTAGAAATATATTACATAAATAATAAAGAGTTTATCATCTAAAATTTAACACAGGAGATAAGGGAGAGAGGAGAAGGTACGGGGGTGACACAAGTTACAAAACTGATTGCTTTAAAAGAATTGAAATGGATATCAGGAACAAGAATTCAATCAATAATGCCAATGTAAAGTAGATTGATATTAAAATGATGTTTCCCAGGATTTGGGCTGGTATGGTTGGTGCTCCCTTTGTTGAATGTTAGTTGTTGATGGGATGTTTTAGGGTTTGCTAGTTTCACCATTTTGCCCTTCTTTCCTTCCTTCCTTCCTTCCTTCCTTCCTTCCTTCCTTCCTTCCTTCCTTCCTTCCTTCCTTCCTTCCTTCCTTCCTTCCTTCCTTCCTTCCTTCCTTCCTTCCTTCCTTCCTTCCTTCCTTCCTTCCTTCCTTCCTTCCTTCCTTCCTTCCTTCCTTCCTTCCTTCCTTCCTTCCTTCCTTCCTTCCTTCCTTCCTTCCTTCCTTCCTTCCTTCCTTCCTTCCTTCCTTCCTTCCTTCCTTCCTTCCTTCCTTCCTTCCTTCCTTCCTTCCTTCCTTCCTTCCTTCCTTCCTTCCTTCCTTCCTTCCTTCCTCTTTGTCTGAGCCTGGTTCTGTTATTTGTTTTTTGCATAATTTTTATATTGTATTGGTGTACTGTGAGCCACCCAGAGTCATTTGGAGTCAGACAGCATCAAATCAAATGAATGAATGAATGTGTTAACATCATATTAACATTATCCTCTTTTCTTGATATCCCTTACAGAAAAAATTTTGGGAGACCTATCCACACAATGGAAGAGGAGGAGCAAGTGAGTAAGGGTACAAAACAGCAACAAGGAAGTTCCATATATTTAAGTTTTCTGATGCTGTGCTATTCTTCTTGAATCAAGTATTACCTTTATAGGCAGCAGCGTTTCTCAACCTTAAGATGTGTGGACTTCAACTCCCAGAATTCCCCAGCCAGAATCCACACTTCTTAAAGTTGCCAATGTTGAGAAACACTTATAGGCAGGATCCCAGCTAATGATTTCTAGGGGCTTTTAGAGTCATCTAACCATTACTGTGCCCATATAATAGTAACAAGGCTGGGCTTTCTGCCCCTTCAGCAACAGTTGGGTGCCAAGAGACATTCCCAGCTTGCTGAGCTAGTGCTCTCCACTCATCCTTGAGTAAGCAGAAAACTATGACATGACCTTTGCTGCCCCATTGCTGATCCCTATCCTGCCTCTGTTGCCTTTGCTTCAAGTCACTGCAGCCACTTGGTTTCCCTTCGAAGAAATGAGTTACAAGGCCTTACCATCTTCTAAAGCTGCCTTAGCCCTTTGAGGTAGTGCAGACAAGAATCACAACTATGAGTACTAATTCTATATTTATTTTAAAGTTACATTAACAGAATCTTGCAAGACAAACTATTTCTCCCCTCCTCTCCTTTTACTTTCTGGAAAACTAGGGAGGGTCCCTTCTAAAATGCTTCCCATGCCTCCTCTCCTGTGGGCTGAGAAATCTTTTGCATTTTGGTTGTCCACTCTGTGGCTCTTCCTCCTGTCTCCCAAGGTCATTCCCACATACCATTGGAAGCTGCTGTTGGATGGTGGCAACTTAGGCAGGGATACATCGCTTTAACGCTGATGTTTAAGTCTGCCCTTCATGGGACGAGGACAAGATGAAACCAGCATCATGGGGACATGGCAGCACAGAAATGTTGCCATGGAATGTTTGTGCTGGGATTAGGTGCTAACGGGGAAAGCCTATAAGGTTATATAAAATGGCCTTACTGTAGTGTCTTCTAGCATCATCCAGCCATTGCTGTGCTCAGAAATATCAATAAAGAGAGGCTTTATAGTGCTACAACAATGGCTGGGTGAAACTATAAATTACAACTGAGGAAATAGCTCAGTAGAAGGAAAAGGCTATGGTTCTATTCCTTCATCCTCCATTCTCCAAGTGCCTCTAGATGAGAGTTGCAGCCCTGTGAAAAAGCAAAGGTTGATCAAGGCTGCCCTAAAGGCTCCTTCTTACATTCTACATGTAAGCAGCTCATCCTATCACAGCTTTTCTTTTCCACAAAGATGTGCTCATATAACTTTCTCTTGCCTAGCCAAGTAATTTACCATAAGGCTGTATGCTGATGTATGTAATCTCTTCTCCTCCTCATTGCATACTGTATATTCATCACTAAATCAACCAATTCAAGCTGTAGCTATTGCCTTTGGGGCAGTAATGTGACAGATAATAACTTTTGGAGATTCCCAGTGATCATCATTATTACTTATTATTAACTTGGGGGTAACCTTTTGATGGTTGGGGACTACATGTTTTTTTCAGGAGAGAGGACTGCATTGGAAGGTAGGGAGCAAAGTGTTTGAGGTAGCATCATCCAGAATGGCAGGGCCAAAATTCTCAATTTTTCTGGGGTACTTCCTTTACTTTTTAAAACTGATTTAAGGATATATTAGGATATACAGTGGTACCTCGGTTCACGAACTTAATTCGTTCCGTGACTCTGGTCGCGACCCAAATTGGTCACAACCCGAAT